GCCCTTGCCGCCGCCGCCCTCGCCGTCGCCACCGAGCCCGCCGCCACCGTCACCCCCGCCCCGGTGGCAGCCACCTCCCTCACCGCCACCGCCCAGCCCGCCGCCGCCATCTCCCCCACCGCCCTCACCGTCACGCTGCCAGCGCAGCCGCCGGGCGACGCGACAGCGGCTAGCGGCCGGGAGAGCCTCTCCAGTGCGGGCTGGGGGCGGCGGCGGCACTCTGCGGGTGGCGGGCGAGCTGCTGGCTGGCTGGCGGCGCGTCTCGACTCAAATTATGGGCCGCCTCTCGGGCGTGCGGCCAGGGGCCCGTGTGGCGCGAGGAGAGGGCGGCGCGCTCGGCGCGCTGGCGGCGGTGAAGCCTCTCAGAGTGGGCGCTGGCTGGCCGAGGGCGTCGGGCGGGTGTGGGGCGGCACTCGGGCCGCCGGACGGGCCGTGGTGGCCCGTGTGGCGTTCGTGAGGGACTGTTTGGGCGCCCCGGCAACCTCCCCGCTTGCGTGACCAGGGCCGGTTTGGCAGCGGTTTGGGCTGTGTGTGGGCTGGTCGCGGTAGGGGATAGTGCTTGTTTATGGTCCCACTCACTACTCCCGGCCAACGGGGCCTCGCGGGGCGTCCTCGTTTGCAGTAAAAGGCCTCTGCCATCGCTCAGAGTCCCAAACCATGTGATCCTCCGCGCCGGGGCCGCGCCCGAGTAGTCTGCCAGATGCGATGTCGTCGGGGAGGGCGTCGTCGCGGGCGCCAACGTCGTCATGCGAGCCCCTACGGCTGTCCAAGGGCACGTCTGGGTGACCAGGGGCGGGGGTCGAGCCGTGAGTGCTCCGCCGGGGCGAGCTTCTGGGTCCATGGGACCGCTGCCGGACCCATCCGAGAGCCTCTCCGGACACGTTCGCTCGACGGCCTAGTTGGCGGCCGATGTTCGACGACTAAAGCTCCGGACGCCGCGGCCAAAGGTCCGCCCACGGCCCCAGGGCTCGTGGTGGGTGTGGGGTGTGCCTCACGAGGCGGAGAGGCCGCGTGAACTCCCGTAGAAGCTCGCGAAGTGCGGATTTGGAGCGCCGCGCCGGACCTCCGCCGGGGCCCGCCGGGACGCCGTATGGGCCTCGGGGTGCCCGATAAGCTTAGAGGTGCGGTTTTTTTTGCTTGTGTCTATCGGTTCATGTCATGGACCGGCCCTGGGAAGCCTTTGACCGCGCGCGGAGGGTGTTACGGGGCCGTGATGATTTAGCGGGAGGGAAATCGGCCGATTTGCCCAGTGTGCTCTGTTCACGTTCAGAGAGAGAGAGAGAGATTCTTGATACGAAACCACGACGACACACACCAGTCGACTCGCATCGGTTGCCTCCATGAACGGCGGAGCTATTCTCGCGCCCACACCACACCTGGCTCCAACGTGGACACGCCCATAGCTGGGGACACTACTAGGTCACGCATGGCATCACAGAAGTTTTATCGCTGGGCCCCGAAAGGCATCTCTAGCAGTGTCGTTACACATGCCCCCTCCCCTCCTGGGCGCATGCGCCTCACGTCTCGCCAGAGCATAAGCCCTTGGCGTGTGGCGAGACGAGTTTTTCGCCATCGCAGCGAGCAGCAAGCCGCCCGCCGCAAACAGCCGGAGGCCTCGCCGCGGCACTGGCTGCGCCGCGGTCCCGCACCCGTCGACGCAGCTCCCCCCGCGGAAGACCGCGCGTAGCGACGCCTTGACGATCGAGATGAGCGTGCCTGAAGCTCGCCCACCTCTCTCTCTCTCTCTCTCTCTCTTCACGTTCACACCGAGTAATCAGTAAACCCCCACCAATCCTCGCTACCCAACGCGGCCAAAGGATATCCACCTCGAGAACCTCGAGAAACCCCCCATAACCCCATACAGGAGGAGAGAGAGGTACTCTGTCTCTACAACGGCGGTGGCAATCGCGCGCTCTCCTCGCTCTCCGCCTCGCGCGACGCCGTCCCTCGCTCGAGGTCACATGGCCGACACTTGGGGGACGTTGCGGCCTTCTGACAGCGCTCACCGCCGCTGCACGCAACTCGACGGACTCTGGGCCTTCATCGCCGACCACAAAGACGACGGACATGCAAGCGGCTTCTGCAGTGGCCTGCCCGAGAGCGGCCGCACGCCCATCGCCGTCCCTGCCTCGTGGAACGAGCAGCTCCCTGAGCTCGACTCGTTTCTCGGGCCCGCGTGGTACGAGCGCACCGTCTGGGCGCCGCTTGGGCTGACGCCTCGGCAGCGCGTCTGCCTCCGCTTCGGAAGCGTCAACTACTCGTGCGAGGTGTACTTCAACGGAGAGCGAGCCGGAGCACACGAGGGCGGGCATCTCCCATTCGAGGTGGACGTGACGTGCCTCCTCCGCTCCTCCGGCGAGCCAAACTTGCTCGTGCTGCGGGTCGGCGATAGACAGAGATCTAGGCGAGACACAACCCGACCAACACTTGGGACACCGGCGCGGGATGGGTGGACGCTAGACGGGCTTTGACAGCCACACAAGACAAGACACTCCGACGGGGCTGTCACACCTCCTGAGCGGAGTTCCCTAGGTCGACGGACGCCTCGAACCGACCCACGTCCCTCCGGGCGGCGGGTGGGGCGCGATGGCGCCGGGCTGCTTCCCGCGCGCCTCGTTCGACTTTTACCCGTTCTGCGGCGTGCAGCGGTCTGTCCAGCTCTGCGTGCGCCCGGCGAGCGGCCTGGAGGGGCTGAAGATCGAGACCCGGCTTGGAGGGCCTAGAAGCGGAGCACGTACTCTCTGTGTCTTCCGACCCGCACACACACAAACACACACACACACACACACACACACACACACACACACACACACACACACACACACACACACACACACACACACACACACACACACACACACACACACACACACACACACACACACACACACACACACACACACACACACACACACACACACCCTCGACCCACGCGGTGCTGTGAACAAACTGCACCATACCGTCTTCCCGCCCCTCACGCTGGCGTGCCCACCGCGCAGGCTAGAGGACCTCACCGCTGGCGCCGCCTCGGCCGCTAGCGTGGTAATGCGCTGCCGCTGCGGGACCGGCGTGAGCCGTGTGCGAGCGAGCCTCTGGACACAAGGCGATCAACTAGTTTGAATGCATTCACTAGTTGATTGCGGGACCGGCGTGAGCCGTGTGCGAGCGAGCCTCTGGACACAAGGCGATCAGCTGATTCTAACTCATTAATTAGTTGATTGCGGGATCGCGGTGAGCCTTGACACAAGGCGGCGTCGAGGCGGGCGAGGCCTCCGACGGCACAGTCGATGCGGAGACGGCCGAGGCGCGCTGCGCCGTGCGCGTGCTGAGGCCGACTCTGTGGGCGGCCGGCGCGTCGTACCTGTACCGCCTTCGCCTCGAGGCACACACACACGCACGCACACACACGCACACACACACACACACACACACACACACACACACGCACACACACACACACACACACACACACACACACACGCACACACACACACACACACACACACACGCACACACACACACGCACACGCACCGGGCCTTGCACTTTGAATGCCGTGCCGGCTCCTGTCGTCTAGACGTGGAGTCGCGAGGGACTAGCCTGGCCCTTGCCCCACCACCCCATGTGCGTGGAGAAGTTCCCCCTTCCCCTCCCTTCCCTTACTTCGCCTCGAGGCGCTGGACGCCGACGGTGCCCCGATTGACTCGTACGAGCAGCGGCTTGGACTGCGGACTGTCGAGGCGTCGGACGACGGCCTCCTCCTCAACGGCGAACCCGTGTCCAGCCGCAGTGCCCTACCCCACCCGGTGCCCGAACCCAATCAAACGGTGTGATAGGCGAGCCCGTGTCGATGCGCGGGTTTGGCCGGCACAAGGAGTTTCCCGCTGGTGGGGCGATCTCGCCATATCTCGCCATATCTCCCCGTGCCTCCGTCGGGTAGGCACGAAGATTTCCCGCTGGTGGGGCGCGCCGAGGTTGGCGCCGCGCCTCGTGGACGAACTTCATTCAACAGCATCCCTCACTCCGCTGAGGAATGCATTAGGTTGGCGCCGCGCCTCGTGGACGAACTTCATTCAACAGCATCCCTCACTCCGCTGAGGAATGCATTAGGTTGGCGCCGCGCGCTCGTGCGCGACCTTAACTAGTTACCTTGTACTCCATTGGCTGACTAGTCAACTCATCAACTTTAGGTTGGCGCCGTGCTTGTGCGCGACCACGCGTGCTTGCGGTGGGTCGGCGCCAGCCAACTCGTACCGCACCGCGCACTACCCGGGTTCCTACCCTACCAAACCCGGTACCCGAATCCAATAGGCGCCAACTCGTACCGCACCGCGCACTACCCGTACTCGGAGGTGGACCTCCCTCGCCAGCGTCTCGACAATAATTAATAATAATGATGATAATAATAATCTCGTACTCGGAGGTGGACCTCGACCTCGCCGACGAGCACGGCTTGCTGGTCTAGAAGAGTACGTATTCATGTGTCCGAACCAGCGCTCGAGAGGACACGGACTCCGCCGCCTCCGCTACATTCCACTGTATTCACTGTGTTCCTATCCGTATCCGACTCGTGCTCTGAATGCGCTGCACAATACCGTCCTCCCGCCCTCATGCCGGCGTACTCACAAGTAGGCGCGTCCGACATGCGTCGCGCGGCAGGCCAGCTGTGAGCAGCGTCTCTTCACACCTCTTGCCGTGAGCACAGGCTTGCTGGTCGTCTCCGAGTCTCCGTGCGTCGGACTGTCGTTCGCCGACGCGCCCGCCATCGTGCAGCAGCGGCAGGCGCAGGGAGGGAGGGAGGGATGCTAGAGTCTGAGATCTCGCGCGATCTCGGCTGTATCATGGCAGGCGCAGGCGACGCGCGCGCTCGCCGAGCTGTTGGCGCGAGACTGCTGCCGCACGTGCGTAGTCGCGTGGTCGGTGTGCGACGAGCCGGGAGATGTGGGGAGATCTGCGGGGGAGATATGGGGAGATAGGGTCGGTGCGACGAGCCGGGAGATGTGGGGAGATCTGCGGGGGAGATATGGGGAGATAGGGTCGGTGTGCGACGAGCCGGGAGATGCGGGGAGATCAGCGGGGGAGATATGGGGAGATAGGGTCGGTGTGCGACGAACCGGGAGATGTGGGGAGATCAGCGGGGGAGATGCGGGGAGATATGTACCGCAGGAAGTAGTTCGTGGTGGATTGACTGAGACGCTACTGAGACGCTACTGCTTGACCAGGTGTGCAACGAGCCGGGAGGGCCGCAGTCGGTGCCGACGGCGGAGGCCAAGAGGCAGCAGACGGAGGCGCTGCTCGAGTTGGTGGCGCTCGCAAGGGCGGAGGGCACGCGGCTGGTGACGTTTGCCAACATCCCCGAGCATTGCGACGAGGCCAACCGCGCGTGTGACTTTCTCTCGCTCAACGAGTACGTCGGCTGGTACTACGACGTGGGCAAGCCGCTCGCCGAGATTGGGAGACAGCTCGAGGCCAAGTTCGTGGCGCTAGAAGCGGAGTACGCTGTCTTGTCTCCCAACTGGCGCGAGAGGACACGTCTTCCGCTGTATTCGACCATGTTCCGCGGTATTCGTTTCTTCGTAGCCCCTCGTCTTCACTGTATTCCGCCATGTTCCGCGGTATTCGTTTCTTCGTAGCCCCTCGTCTTCACGAGGAGTACGCTGCACAGCACCGTACTCACGCCCGGATGTTGGTGCATCTTATGCGCAGGTTCGTGGCGTTGCACGCCGACTTTCGCAAGCCGATCATGGTCTCCGAATGCGGTGCGGACACGCTCCCGGGATGCCACATGATGGCGCCGGGGCTCTGGAGCGAGGAGTTCCAGGCGGGCCTCTTGGAGGTGTACACGGAGCTGGAGCGCAAGCTGCCCTTCGTCTTTGGCGTGCACGTCTGGAATCTCGCCGACTTTCGGACGCCGCAGATGCACCTCCGTGCCGCGGGCCTCAACCACAAGGGCGTCTTCACGCGGCTCAGAGAGCCGAAGCTCGCGGCGCACATGCTGCGTCGGGCGTGGAGGCCATAAGAAGGTCGGTGGCACAGCAGGAGAATTCAGAAAATTGGAACTTAAACCAGCTGAAACTGCACTCTCTGTCGTCTTTAGTTAAAACTGGTCAGATCTCCTTTGCCCCCCCCGCCCGCCCCCGCCCGCCCTGCGCTAGCCGGTGCCGGTGCCGCTCACCCCTCTGTGACTGGCTCGTTCTTGTGCGAGCGCACATGGGCCACGATGTCTCAAATATGAGGGGTTTTGACTCCTACCGGCTCCTGACGCTACCCCCCTGGCAGCTCTAATGACCCCAGGATCAGTAGTGTAGTGATAGAGGGTGCCCATACTAGCAGTGTGAGTGAGTATTCTTGATACGAAACCACGACGACACACACCAGTCGACTCGCATCGGTTGCCTCCATTAACGGCGGAGCTATTCTCGCGCCCATCTGGGGAATTAAGGCTAGTTCCATTTCACTCTGACACGCTAATCTTGAAAACGTCCAACGGAGCTCCGTGTTGCTCCCAGCGCCCTCCCCCGCGCTTCCTGCGGCCACGGCCGATGATACTAGTATGAGAGGTCATCTGGCTACCGCGAGCGCGACTCAACTCGCCGACGTCGTCCGATGATTATGCCTCAAAGTCAGCCTCCGGAGGCTATCGTGGGGTCGAGCCGGCAGTAGCCGTGACATGTGGTTCCACCACCCCTCGTATGCTTTGCCTCTGACCGCCACCGTTCCCAGGCTGCCAAATGGGATGGAAAGGAAGGCTCGGCGAGCGTATAGAAGCGTGCTCGACCTCGTCGTGGCAACCTGCACGGCAGCGCTGGTAGGCGCGATGAGCGTCGTGCCACCTGACCCGAGACGGGTCGCAGGCGTCGTACCGAGCGCGTCGAGACCGTGTCCTGATGTGATCTGCACGGGTGAGTCACGTCGGCGTCAAAGGAGCGACGTGCGACCTGTCAGAGCTTGATCTCCGATCTCAGCGGCGTCGAGTCGTCTCCGGCGCGCGACAAAGGTACATCCCCAGGACGCGCAGAGGCAGCTGCGACCCAGCGGAGTGGACGGTAACGCACCGCGCCACCTGCTGTGCGTTACCGTCCACTCGGCGGGGTCGCAGCTGCCTCTGGAAGGCACCGAGATGTACCTTTTTCGCGCAAATGGTCAAATCAAGGTTTTGTAACGCGAGCTGTGCCACAGTGAAATGGAACTAGCCTAATGAATGCTTCCCGCGAGGCATTTCTTGGCCACGGCGAGCGCCGTGACGAGCGGATTGGAGTACTTTTATGATTCGCTTTTATGATTCACCGCGGTTGTGTTCTTGGTACGCTGTCTCTTCGTGTTGCGTGTTATCTCTTTCCACTGTTAACGCTTCTTCGCTGTTTGTTGTCCTCGCCGGCCAAAAGAGCCATGCTCGGCAACGGACCTGGCACTGAGAAAGCGTCTGCCCGAGAGCGAACTCCTCCTCGAAAGGGTTGATCCCGTCGCACAGGGCCATCCTCCCCTCCTTGTCCTTGCAGCAGAGGCAGTCGAACGGCGGCTCCGCCTGCGTTGGGAATCGGGCATGGAATCAGTGGATTGCGGGGAGGAGAGGTGAGAGGCGAGTGTGGGGGAGGAACGGCAGTCAACGCACAGGGCTAAGCAAGACACCGGCGTGCGCACCGGCAAGTAAAGCCCACGCTCGTTCCTCCGAATGAGATCGTAGTCCGCCTCTAGCCGCGTGGCATCGGCATCGCTCAGCAAGATGACTCCCGGAGAGTTGAGCAAATATGTCGTGCGCCCTTTGCAACGAATGGGCGGGAACACCACCCTCCCGGTCCTGCTAAACCATTCTCTCTCTCCCTGCCGTGGGCAGAAGCGGTTCAGTGGATAGAGCTCCCGATTGAACGTGACGAAAGTAGGCAGGCAGGCAATCAAGGACAGCATCTCCTTGTTGAGCGCGCCAGCCTGCTCGCAAGGGCAGGCGAGAAACAGCTGGCACACCGCCTTCTCGGATGTGTACGGCTTCTCGGCTTCCGCCATGAAGATCGCAGGCCGAAGGAAGGAGTCCGCTACTGCCTCAAAGGCGCTGCGCCCCAGCGCGGCCGCATCGCGTGCGTGTGGTCGGCAGCCTTGAAAGCGCGGGTTGACCTCGAGCAGGACCACCTCGCCCTCGTCGGTGCGCATCACCTCAGTGTGCGAAGGCCCGTTTCGGATGCCGAGGGCATCGAGCGTCTGCTTCACATAGTCCACAACCCCTTGCACGTCGGACGAGGATCGCACCAGGTCCTCCCGCTGGTAGAGGATGAGTGAGCCGCTGCACTTCTTTTGGCTCATCCACGCGTCTGTCATGCGTCCCGTTGCGCGACGCCACATTGACCACGTACTCTGTGCCGCGCACGTAAGGCTGCAGCAGGAGCATGTCAATCGTGCCGCCTAACGGATTCGTCTTGCCGATGGTGTTTTCGATCGCGGAACGCAGCTCATCTTCGTTGTGGCACACGCTGACGCCGAAGGTGCCGCCCGCGCGGCGGGGTTTGAGCACCACCGGCCAAGCTGCGCGCCCCTCTCGCATGTGGGCCACCGCGGCGGCGTACGAGTGAACCTCGACAGACCGCAAGGACCTCAGTCCGGCCTCGTCGACAACCTCATGCATCCGCGCCTTATCGTGTCGCGCCTCGCTGAGGCGGTAACCGTTTGTGGTCTCAGGGCAAAGGCGCTCAGAAATGAGGTCTGCCACCTCGACGACATCGTCAAAGCTGCCGTTGATCACCGCTTGGATTCCCAGCGGCCGCATCAAAGGTAAAACTTCGTTTGCAATCGCTTGGGCATCATCGCCCTCCGGCAAGTCGATGCACGTGTATTGTACGCCCGCCGCGCCGAGCGCTTGGAGAGCATCAGCATAGTCGGAGGCGTTCTGGCTGCATTTCAGTTTGCGGCTCGGCGACCGAAGATCCACGATCGACTCGGCTCCGCGCTCGGCAAGAATCTGTAGCATGTTGGCGCCTTTGCCCTCGTGCTGGCACATGTCCATGAGCGCAAGCCGAGTGCAGCGGCGGCTGTCCTCGTCTCCGCGCACGGGTCGCGATTCTGGCGTGTCTGGCGAAGGCAGAGCGGGCTGACAGCTCGTCCTTCCAAGCGTCCGCAGTCCAGCCAGCGAGCCGATGGCTGCGGCCGAGCGTAAGAACGAGCGTCGCATACCCTCTTGCTGCCCGATGCTTTGCTCATGCTTCGGTGTGAATCACGCCCGCTGTGAAAACATTTTGCGGGGGATTTTTTCGCCAGTCAATAGAGCATGAAAATACCTTTCAGACGGTACCTTTCTGTCCTCCAGAGTCGAAGAACTCGACCGGTGGCTGGCCGCCAAAGTGGCTGGACGGCGCCGCGGCGCACACTGGTGAGCCGCGGAGCACACTGAGGGAGCTGTCCTCGGCGCAGCCGATCGGCTCCCGCGGCCTGGGTGATGGCAGTGGCACTCTCTGAGGCTCCCTGATTTTTTCTGGTATTTGTTGAGCACTCTCTGGTCACCTTCGCCGGGCGAGCCTGGCTCTCGCTGCACAGCGGCGCGACCCGCGGTGAGGCTGCCGATCGTCGAACTGGGCTTAGCTCTCAGTCAAGATATTGTGCATATGGTCGGTCTCTACAATATCTTGACTGAGCACGACCGATGAATCAGCAGCAGGGAGACAGGAAGGCTCGCTGTGTGAGTCGGCCACGCAGAGGGTCGGAACCTGGGCAGCAAGAGGATACTCTGCGCTAGAACGAGCGTCGCATACTCTGCGCAGGTGTCTTGTTTCTTATCAACCTGCTGCTGAGGGCAGCGAGGGGGCGGTGGCTGGCAGCGAGGGCTGCAGCGGCGCACGCACCCCAGAGGCGGAGAGCGGCGCCCGCGAGGCGCGGGCCGCAGTTGTTGCTGGCGGTGTTGGACCCGCTGTGTCTGTTGACACTTCGGAATCCGCGCCGCCGGCGGAGGAGGGGAAGGGCTGAGGGAGGGTGTAGAGGATGTAGAGTGTAGAGCGCTGTAGAGCTGTAGAGATGTAGAGCGCTCTGGAGCGCTGTAGAGCTGTAGAGCTCTACATCGGCTGCGTGACGAGGCGGGTGCGTTGTAGAGCGATGTAGAGCGCGATTTTGCTGTAGAGTTTGTTGTAGAGGCTCTACAGCCAAACCGCCGGGAAGGCAGTGACTCAAAGAGGTCGAGTCGCACTAATGGGGTGTCTCCGAGCTTACTGGAGCTCTGATGGACGGCCCTGACTATCACTGACACACAGAGACGGTCACTCTGACGGCACACAACACCCTATAACTGCGTCATGACCAGCCTGCCATGCGTCGCCGGTGCCGCATTCGTCGCTGTGCTTCTTTAGCAGGCGGTGGACTATCGGCTGCGAGGACGGTCGCATTTGCGCGAGGCGAGGCGAGCATTCAGACGCGTTGCATGCGCCATGACTCGCGCCAGCGCGTGCGGGAGCTCCTGGCTGAGCGTTGAGTCCAGGCGAGTTGCGCTGGCCACGATCGCTACGCCAAGCCGAGCTGACGCGCCGAGGCGCCGGCCAGTCGCAGCCGTGAGGCATGCCACAGCAGCAGAGGCACCTCCCACCCATTGGGCGGGCAGACAGAAGGCCAGGGCAGCACTGGTAAGTGCAACGCGCCTCATGTCGGAGAGCGACCGTGCCTCGTTCGCCGCTTATGATGTAGAGTTTGTTGTAGAGATTTCACGTTGTAGAGCGCCTCTACATCGCTCTACAACGCACCCGCCTCGTCACGCGGTGGATGTAGAGCTCTACAGCTCTACAGCACTCTCCAGCTCTACAGCTCTACAGCGCTCTACACTCTACATCCTCTACACCCTCCCTCAGGGGAAGGGCAGCTGCCTTTGCCCGCTGCCTGTTCCTGGTTGTACCCGCGTACCGTCCACACCCGGCCACGAACCCACACCGCAGTCTCCGGACGTTGCGGCGGGGGTCGGAGTCTGGACTCATTCTTCTTTTGCGAGGTCCCAGGAGCATGCGGTGGGCACGGCAACCGACGAGGAGGTCGAGGAGGAGGCAGCGGGGGCGGTTTCGGGCGCGGCGCGCGGCGCCGAGCCGGACGGCCCTCCCACTGCTCGCCAATCTCGCCCCTCCCACTACTCGGTTGCCCAGTGGGCGGCTATCCAGGCGGCTGAGAAGGCGGCATGGGACGCGGCGCGCTGCCCTAGGTTTAGGGCGGCTTTGGACGCTATGCCGGAACAGGGGCCGGGATGTTGCGACGGAGGGCCGGAGCTATGGGCTGGCGCCACGACGTTGCAGGACACGGAGGGGTGGAAGGAGCTGGTGAAGGCGGGAAAGATTCTGCTCTTCGACGAGGATCGGGCGGTGGTGATGCGATATGCTCCTGGCGGGGGGCGCGGTCGAGGGCGCGGGGGTGGGTCGCGCAGTGCCCGCTGGCGGGGCAAGCGGCGAGGGGGTCGCCGGGGGGGTTGGGATGATGGGGATGGTCTTTTCGGTGAGCACTACGGTGCTCGCGGATTCGACTGTCCCCCCGATCGTGCCCACCTCCATGAGGACGACGGCGCCTTCTAAAGGTCCGTCGCAGGCTGTGCCTCTTTTGGTACCTGTGTCGAACCTGTGTGCTGTGCGAGAGAGTTCTCATTTTTGAATTCTTATCAACCTATCTCGAGGTTCTCGAGGTGGATATCCTTTGGCCGCGTTGGGTAGCGAGGATTGGTGTAACCCGAGCCACGGAGGCGTGTTTTCTGACGGCCGACCGTCAGTGCACGGAGTTGCCCCTTCTCCGACTGCCCCGGCTAGTTCCCGAGGTCGTCGGGTGTGACCCCTTCGTCCCCCGAGACCTAGCGCGGGTGGGTTGGAGGGGCCTCGGAAAGGCGCGCAAGCACGCCCTACGTCTTCCCCTCCTCCCCATCGGGCCGCATGAGCGGCCACGCCTCGCAGATTCGTTTCCGCGCCTGGGTCAGGCGCGCGGGGCATCCCCCGGGTCGCTCGACCAGCGATCCGAAGAGTGGCCGCTATGCGAAGGAAAGAGTGGGGCCCTCGACGCCTCAGTCCGGCCCTCCGAGGGGGGAAGGGAATTGCGGGGTCCCCTCGGGCGCCTCAGTTCGGCCCTCCCGAGGGGGGGAGGGGAGCAAGGGGGTGGGGGGATTGGGGTGGTGGGGAGGGGTCTCGGATTTCATGTGGCTAAGACTTGCCTTTCGGGGAGGGGCCTCGGTTACGGCGAGCGCAGTGGCGCGCGCCCTACGTCTTCCCCTCCTCCCTCGAGGCAGCGAGTAGGCAGCGAGAGGAGGTCTCGAGCGCCTATATGAAGGTATGTGAGATGGTGATGGGAATGGGTGGTCGGGCGGGCGGGCGGGCGGGCGGGCGGGCGGGCGGGCGGGCGGGCGGGCAAGCGGGGAGAGGCGGGCGGGCGGGGCGGGGCGGGCGGGCGGGGTGATCGGGGGAATCGTGTCCACAATCGGCAGCGGCGGAGCAGCAGCAGCAGCAGCAGCTGCTGTAGCAGCAGGCAGCAGCCTGCCGCAGATTCCTGCCGTTGTCTGCGCCGCGATCCGCCGCCGCGCCGCCGCGCCGCCGCCGCCTGCGCTCGCCGCTCGCAGACGCCACCTCTCGCGCTCGGAGAGCCGCGCAGCGGGCCGCGAGGTTGAGGTCAAAGTGTGCAGCAAAGTGGCGGTCATGAAATCATCAAAATTTGAGGTTGCTCGAGAGAGCCTGGAAACGGTCCCGAGCCGTAGCCCCGGTGTCGGCGCACCGCCTCTCGGCCGCGACGGGCCGGCTCCGCCGCTCAGTCGAGCAGCAGGGGCTCTGGCACAGTTTTGTCGACAAACTGGTCGAGCCAAAAATTGGCGAGGAAGCGGCACCGGCGGCACGCCGGGACGAATCCAGACTGATCACATTGTTCGGCACCGCGGCGGCGAGCCGCCGCGAGCCCACAGGAGAGCTGGGCGCCGCGGCACCAGACCGCGCCGCCAGCGAGGCGAGAGCTGCAGCCGACCGGCCGTGACATGGCAGTTGCAACGGCGCCCTTTATCAACCTATCTGTGAACACGAAACCGCCACAAGCGCCGCGATGAGCGGTGGATCGAGCACAATTGCGTTACATGGGCATGGCCGGGGTTTCTGCACCGAACGATCTTACTTTCGGTCTATCGAAAGTGTTGATCGATAACAAGGCTGTGAACACGCGCGATAATACCTGGAGGCGCTACGCGCAAGCCTCGCTGAAAATTTTAGGGCGCTTCGCGGCCCAGCAAGCTGACAAGCTACAGCTCGCAACAAGTCCTATGCTAACCTACAAACGAAATAGTCAACATACTGTTATATGATAGTAATAGAGCAGTTTGGTCGGAGGGCGCCCGGGTCGCCCCGGAGCGTCCCCGCGCGGGGAGGTGGGTGGAGGGCGGGCGCCACGCCGTCGGGCAGGCCGCGCGGGGACGCAGCCGGGGCCAGCGCGCGGCGCTACAGAGGGCCGGGCGCAAACTTGTTGGACCTCGACCTGGACCTGGACCTGGGTCGGCGAGTTTGGTCGTAGGTAGGTACCATGTATGTATGTATGTAGAAAGATGAACAACAGTCGGGCTCGGACTGGACACCAACGCGGTATGGGTGGACGCGGGACAGATGATGACGACACGCACGAACGACACACAGACACAAACAAAGGTACACGTACACTTTACAGAGATCCGTCACCAAAGCTACTCGTCGTCACCCTCCGACCCACTCGCATCGCCATCCTCCACGCGAGGCCTCTTCCGCCGGTCACATCGCCACGCAAGCGGTCGCCACCGCGAGAAGGCCGCCTCAAATCGGACCTGAATCTCGTAGCCACGGCTCACCGGTGACCTGCGCGTACCATAAGCTCATCGAGAAGTGGACCCGCTCGCCGTCGCACAGGCTCTCGCACGCCCACGGATCCTTGTGGGTTCCTCGGCACGCGAACGGGTCCTTGAGCTTGCAGCGGCGCGGGCACAAGTCGGCCAGGTGCGACATGTAGACGTACCGCTTGCACGCGCACGCATGCCCTCTGCACCGCCGCTGGTACGGG